GACAAATCCCAGTTTGACTCATACCTCAGCAGTTCACCACACTGCTTGACACCACTATGCTGGGCATTGACTTACCAAAACCGTAATAGAACAACGCACTGTAAACCTTTTTTTTTTTTTTTTTTTTTTTTTTTTTTATAATAAGACTTGCTAACAGATTTTTTTCACAGTGTTGAGTTCACTTACAGGAACAGGGATCTTCTCAGGAAAGAACCGTCATTCTCGCTCTGCATGTAAAAGTTCTGCTTTTCACTTTGATATCAGGAGCAAATCATCTATTTGCCTTTTAGAGTTGCACTTCCAGTTGACCATGACATTTGCGATTTATAGACAAGCTGCAGAGCAGATGTGCATTAGAATGTCTCACAAAATTGTATGTGTGCACATAGGCAGTTTATATACCCCTTGAACCTTCTCACCTTTGCTACTTTACAAAGAAAAACTTCAAGATATTTTATTTTTATTTTAATGATGGGTGATCATAAAGCACATAATAATTTTTGCAAATAGTTTTTTGAATTAAAAAGAAAAAAACACATGCATTTACACATTTTTTTAACAAATTAAAATTTGGAAAGTGGCATGCTTTTCTGGTACTTCCACAGAGTCTTTGCAAGAGCTTTGTAGAAGGGTCCTTGATTCGCCATTCCAGCTGCAAGTCTTGTTGTCTATGCCTTAACTATTATTGCACAAAGAGGCTAAAGCTTTGCCCATTCCTCTTTGTAAAATAACTTAAGATTGGTCATTACATTACTCCAGAGGCATGGCGTTTACAGCTTTACTTTCAATATTGACTTGTTTAGCCAAACATTGTGTCAACTCTGACCATGGTATTCCTGTTCCAATAAAAGTATTTCCGCACTAGAAATAGAACTTTATTGATCTTACAATGGAGAAATTAACTCTCTGCATTTAACCATCACCTTGGAGAGCAGTGGGCTGCCATTGTGCAGTACCTGGGAAGCAATCAGGGGTTAAGGGTCTTGCTCAGAAACCCTGAGTAGAGTCCTGCACGGGTCGAGTTTTACCAACCCGCCCGAACCCGTTAGGATGACTACCGAACCCGACCCGTCACCCGCGGATATCTTCAATTCAAATCCGAACCCGACCCGACCCGTTGATATTTAACCCGCAACCTGACCCGTTAACACATCAAGTAATAAGCTATAGTACGCTGCGCTGCAGAACAGCGCCATTAACACTGCAGCAGACGTGTATGCACTGACTGTGGCCTTTTTGGAGGAAAGCCCACACTGCCGGCAGGGCTTTAAGCTACAACAAGGGTGACCCCAGTGCCTGATTAATATAACATTTCTGATGTCCATAACAACACACACGCATTAAAAAAAAATCACCAACTACCCGTCCGCACTAAAAAAATATCCGCCCGACCCAGCGTACCCGTTTATTTTTATTTATGTATTTTTCACCCGCAAAAGAGCATTTTAGCGGGTGACCCGTCGGGGACCCGCGGGTACCCGACCCGTTGCAGGACTCTAACTCAGAGTACCAGCTGTGGGGATCGAACCGAGCAGGCCTACTCACAGCCTTCTCAGAGCTTAAGCGCCCTGCTCTAACAACTGGGCCAACACTCCCCCAGTAGTACAATACTGCTACTACTATGTTTTATAGGGAGGTGGGAGAAATCGTGTGGGAGAAATTTATTTGGCAATATATCTCAGTATATATCCCGCATGAAATAATGGCGATCTTTCAGCTCCTAATATCGCAAGAAAATATTGCTTAAAAAATGTGCTATCTACTTCCGCACGCCGCTCCAGTAGATGTCACCATTCAGCCCTTTGCGGCACATCGTCGTTACATTTGCTGTAACACTTTGATTGTGAACTCAAAGCTGGACCTCCTATTTTTTTGATTAATTGAACAGCGCTTTGTAATCTGTAAAAGCTTTGATTTAAGTTTTGATTTAAATTTCTTCACAACTTTATTTTTGATCTGTCAGACAATCTTTATAAGGGTGTTTGTACTCTAAGGATCTCTGACAGACACCTGACTCTGAGGCCTTCACAGGACAGCTGTAATGATTCTGAGATCAAATCACACACAAATAAAGTATTTTTAATGATAGGTTTCTAAAGGCAATTGGTGGCCTAGATTATATTTAGGGTCCAAGTGAAACAAGTGTTACACATAAACACCACTTTTTTGATAATGTTGGAGGTATTTTATTATTTGATGTATTGTATTTTGGTGTATGTAAAGGTGAAAGTATAATTATTAATCAGTTTTGACAAAGGGTGTTACTATTTTTCAAACTTGAAAAACAAAGAGGCAGAAAAATGGATGTAATAGATATACATAATTGGCAGGAAGTTGTGCAAATTAAATTCTCATCATTTAACCATTTTGATGACCTCATTGGTTTGTGTGTAGGTACTTTTAAGTTATTACCAAGAAGTTTCCTGTTTTGTTTTTAAAGTGTTTTACTGGTTATGTCTAATCCATAAAGCTGACAGTGCAAACCAGCAGAAAGCCCCTATAAGAAACCATGCAGCTTCATGCCTAGATTTTAGAACACTTGAAGCAAACCAGTAAAAAAAAAAAAAAAACTAATGCAGCCTTTTTCATTGACAACAGGATGTGACATAGAACAAATCTGGCTCTTACTGGAAGCTGCTTCCTTTGATAGTTTGAGAGAGAAAATGTAAAAAAAGAAAAAAAAAAAGAAATCTCCACTGCTTTTCAACTGCATGCACCCCCCCCCCCCCCCCTCCCCCATCAGTTTCCTGAACCTTCCCTGTCTTGAACTCTGGCCTGTGTCTTGCCTCACATATAGACCACAGGTAGTGGTTTACCTTTAATGACGATAAGGCAGTCTGATAAGAACACTGTGAGTCAGGCATGTACATCTAGGTTGCATGGCTGGTCTGCTACTTTGATTCTCATTTTAGTCTTTTATGTTAACGTTGTTATTTGGATTCATCCAAAGCTGAGTTAGCATTAAATCAGAGATCGACCACTGATGTAAATTTAAGCCCCATTCATTGACAACACTGCTGAAAACATAAAACAAACAAAAAAGAAACTTAAAAAAGTACATTTATTTAGTTTTTGAATAAAATCAGATGAGTTATTACAGCTGCTGTCAGAAGGTAATACATTTCACCATTGAAATAACCTTAATCTTCCTGTATGAGTTGATGCATATAGCAAATTGTCTTAGCATGTGTCTTTTCCTCACTGGTCCTCTTATGCACTCTTTCCTTCAGTCCACCCAAAAGAAAATTCTATAAAATTTATTTGAATGAGCTTTAATGGCCATGGAAAAGGGTTCATTTGATGTCTGATGAAAAATGTCAGTTGTGTTTTAGCTGTATGTTTTGCATCACTATCCTGCTGAAACATCCAGTAAACACCCATTTCTAGTGTAGTTTTACAATCCAATATATTTTGTCATGATACAATGTTCTTTAGCAAGCTTCCCAGGTCATTCAGAAATGAAACACACCCATTGTATCACAAGTGCCTCACTATAACTGTTGGCATAAGGTCTTTTTACACACATTCATCCAAAGCAAACCAGTCCAAATCCAAATAGAGTATTAATCCTTGGAAAATAAAAAAAACAAGCAAGAAAAACAAATTTAGTCTCACCTGAACAAAGCACAAAAAGCAGTTAACATCCCAGTAGACTTCAGCAAGCTACACTGTTGTATTTGTAATAATATGATGTATATCATTCTAAACATCTTGATAGTAAGTTTGTAAATTACTATTTTTTTCGTCTTCAACAAAATGCCTGGGGCAATGGTAAAATGGCTTCATCAGTGGTACAAAGTTTCTCAATCAAGAAGCAAAATTGGGCAAAATTGGGGGCTATATGTTAACGATTTCAAGTTGTCACAGTTGCAAGGGGACAGAAGTTAGATGGATAATGGCATTAACGAGTGTTTATGCTTAGGTTTTTCTGTTACAGCCACCCACTGGACTAGAGTTGTAGTGCACCTTTCTTCACAACAATCTCCCAGACATCAAGTCTCAGAACTATATTGGCGAAACAGGACAAGAAGAAAAAATGAATAAAACTGAAAACACAAAAATTATCAGGGATTAACTTTACCTGGGTAAAAATGGAAGGTATTAAAGTCCTTAAAAAATACAGGAATACAAGAATGGGAGAGAACACAACATGTAAGTCCTTGCTACTTGTAAGAACATGTATGTCCTTACTACTTATTTCTACTGTGCTGCTCAGCACTTATCAACAAGAAAGTGTTGGGTGATTTTAAAAGGCCATCAAGACATATTGTGACTACAGAAATAATTTTTTTTAAGTCTTTTCATCCCAAAGTTGTGAAAAAGATACTAGCATCAGTTATAGTGTCTGAAAGTCATTATGCAGAGAGTTATCTTTTAGCAACAGTGTCTGTTTTGCTTTATTAATTGACCTTGTCTTGCGAAGGCGAGTTAAGTCCCTCATATTTATCTGAGTTTTTAAATATAAACTAGTAGTATTCTTCAGTCTATTCCGTCTTACAAACACTAAAACTGACAAACGTTGATAAATTTTAATTTGTCAAAATAAATGAAAAAGATGTTCAACAATGAGCATAACCATACATGTTTTCTGTAAAAAGATTATTTTTTAATACCAATGTTCTAAAGAGTAGGGAATAGAGATATAAAGACTGTAACAGGCCTTTCCATTAATCGAACTAGAGCCTATTTTATCATTTCTTTATTCCTTTTAACTTATTAGTTTCAATTATTCTGATTAGAGATTGTAAAAAAAAGATACATTGTATTTTCAATCAATTGTGTGTAGTAGTTTACCCACATAAAATGAAGCATCCAGCCAATTCAATTGATAGACATGAAATAAAGTGAAAACTGCATTTAAGGAAGTAGCACATTCGGCAGTAACAATATCATTGTCACAACTTCTCTACCAATGCCAGTAATTTGATTAAATCATTGAAGGGTCAGAAACACAGAACTCATTTGTTAAGTGAAACTCTTTGTTTTTGTGTCTCCTCCAGCCCTCTCCATATAGCTGTGGTTCAAGGGGAATTGCCAATCGTCCACAAACTTATCCAACTGCTGCTGTTGGCTCGTACAGGCCTTGATATTTACAACAATCTCCGACAGGTGAGAAAAAATGCTTTCATGACAATGACACACTTCATACCACAAATAACATTTGCATATTTTAAAATCATTCTGTTCTTGAGTTGGTTCCTTTTGTCTGTAATTTCCCTTGAGTTAAGCTTCAGTAACAAAAAACAAAAGCTTTAAACTTCACTTATGGTGCTTTCATACCTAACACGTAACCAGTGAAAAAAGTGTCACTTTCAGGTGTGTTTGCTCACCTGACATTTCAATTCAATTCAATTCAATTCAATTCAGTTTATTTATATAGCGCCAAATTCACAACACATGTCATCTCAAGGCACTTTACAGTTCAACCAGATCATACAGTCAAATTGATACAAAGTTTTCTATCTAAGGAAAACCAGTTGATTGCATTGACTCATTGACTCAAATACAATCCCCCACACTAAGCATGCTTGTAGCGACAGTGGAGAGGAAAAACTCCCTTTTAACAGGAAGAAACCTCCAGCAGAACCAGGCTCAGTGTGAGCGGCCATCTGCCGAGGCCGACTGGGGTTCAAGGAGACAGAAGCAGAGATACAAAAAGCAGCTGTAAAAGGCGGCCCCGTCCAGGAAACACACAGCCAGGCAGACGAGCTCCAAGGCAGCTCCCATGCCAGAGGACGAAGAGAGCACATCCACTCAGTCACGGTCAGAGAAACAGGACCACACTGGAAAACAGGCCGATCTCCAACATCTATTAACAAGGGTGTTGATAGAAGCAGCACAGCTGATGTTTTTTTCCAGGATGACGTCACAGCCAAACAGGAACAGACGATGCAAAGCTACTCTGAGGAAAAGCAGAGAGAGCAGAAGGTTAGAGATTGAACTAACAGATTCTGCAGAATAGGAGAACAGAGAGAGAATGAAGCAGAATGATGAAATGGGGGTCCCTATGTCCTCCAAAAGTCTAAGCCTATAGCAGCATAACTATAGAGATAGCTCAGGATAACCTGAGCCACCCTAACTATAAGCTTCATTTCATAAGAAATTCCCCTGATAGGCAAAAGCAATTTAGACAGTGGGCAAACTTGGACTATGTCATTGAATCTTCTGGTTGTTTCAACTCAACATGGCATACCTGGACTTTTCAGAATGAATGGCAGTGCTTTACTTACCTTGGAATGCCTAACAGAGCCTTGGGTCTAGCAGATTCTCCAGAGATGCTCCCAGTTCGGGGAATATCTCGTTCTAGAGCTCAGACTAGAGCAGCTAGTAATCAGAGCAAGAACCCTGGCAGAGAGAGCCCCATAACTAGTACAAGGTTTTCCGCATCGTGAAGTTTGCAGATGACACCATGGTGGTGGGATTTCATCAGAGATAACAACGACGAGAACTACAGCGAGGAGGTGGAGTAGCTGGTGGGCTGGTGCAAAGATAACAGCCTGATCCTCAATGCGGAGGAGACAAAGAAGATTATTGTCGACTTCAGGAAGAATTGGCCTAACTACGCTCCACTACTCATCAACTGCTCAGCAGTAGAGGTGGTCAGCAGCACCAAATTCCTGGGGGTGTACATCACAGACAACCTCACTTGGACTGTAATCACCACCTCACTAGTCAAAAGGGCACAAAAGCGCTTGTCCTTCCTGCGGAGGATGATGAGAGCCCATCTGCCCCCACCCATCCTCACAACCTTCTACAGAAGCACCATAGAGAATGTTTTGACCAGCTGTCTCACTGTTTTGTGTGGAGGCTGCAGTGCCTCAGACTGGAAGAGAGTGAGAAGAATAGTGAAAATAGCTGAGACGGTCGTCAGGGCTCCTCTTTCCTCCATAAAAGACATTTGATCCCAGCGCTGCGTGTCCCGAGCCCATAACATAACTAATGATCCCTCACACCCCCACCATGGACTGTTCTCCTGCTGTCCTCTGGAAAGAGGCTTCACAGCATTCTATGCAGGTATTCAACATATTCTGCAACAGTTTCTCCCCCACCACCATCAGACTCTTAATCATTTCACAGACTCTGCATCACACTGATAACACCAAACCAAAAATACTACATATTTGCACCATATATATTAATGCTCTGAGCTTCCATATTGTATCCATGGATTTTTGGCACCATGTTTTTTTTTCCTCCCATACTCATTTGATCATTGCTCCACTTTATAGAATGGAAATGTCCATTTACTCTCTGAAAACAAAATTTTGTTTTGTATACACTCTGTGTATACAATATGACAATAAAAGTGAAGTTTATTTTTTTCCAAATTCACAACAGATAAAATCAGCTTTTTAAATGCAGACTTGAATGTTCTTAAAATATATCATACATTGCATATATTACCTAAGGCTTTAGGACAACGTATTAACTGGACTTGCACTGTGGATGGAAGATACTTACTTGTGGGTAATGTCTTGGACTTGAGTTACACTTGTCTTTCAAACTTGGACATACCCCACAAACACTGCATGAAAAGTGAGATTTTCGTCCCCGTAAACCCCCGTAAACTCCCGCAGATCTGCCTGATTTTCGTCAGTTTCCGACAATTTGCCCCTGCTTGTCCGCGTTTGTCGTGCCACAAATTGTCGGAAACGTACCGTGACGTATGTGGAGAGCGATCAGCTGTACTAATGGCCCTAATCAGCATATGGATGCAGCAAACCCGCGCGGCTGGCCAGGTCTGGCTTGAATAACCTTCTCAGTATTGGCTGAAACCACTATTCTCAAACAAGTAAAATCGCTCGTGATTGGCAGCAAAACCACAGGTGGCCACGCCAGGCTTTAATTTTCTTACTGAGTATTGGACGGAACCACTTCTTTTTAAACAAGTAAAGTCGCTCGTGATTGGTTGGCATATATATATATATATACATATAAATTTACATATATATATATTTATTCATATATATATATATATATATTTATTCATTCATATATTTATTCATTCATATATTTATTCATTCATATGGTGTGTATTTATGTTATCCTACACTACTACACAATTATTATGCTACCATCAAGGACATGAATGAATTTATACAGGAAATGAAGATTTGCCAGGAAGCTGTTTATGCAAAGAAAGAGCTTTATTGAAACACAACTATATACAACGCGTATCCAAACACATGCGTTTCTAAAAATTAAAACTCCGTGAACGGTTCGTTTGCTTCCTCGGGGTTGGAGGTAACTGGCAGCATTCCCTCCGAGGCAGGTCCGATGTGCAGACGCCTAGTGTGCGTGGCCCTGTACTTCGGCATCGCTTCTAACCGGGACTGCAGCTTAACACAGAGTTCAGAGGGATCCGGCCTACGAAATGGCGGCGACCGTACAATCCATCCAGAGACACCGCCGAGGAAGGCGGACTTCCAGAGTTCCACTTCCTCATCTGTAAGCACACTCTGCCTCGCTTTCAGCCGCTGAAAAAAAAAACAGTGAATCAGCGCACTGCGTATGGACACAACACATCTATTAATGCACCTGAAAAATAGTCACCAAATAAAGTCTTACCCTCTTTCTTCTGGCCCGACTCCGAGCAGATAGCCTCCGCACGCAGCGTGCTGGCTGGCTGCGTATATCTGAAGCTCCTGCGTACCGTCTGAAAATACGTCTTACAGGCAGCTGGAAAACAATTAAATGAGAGTGGTATGAATAAAAAATCAAACGCAAGTCACAGTAACAAGGAAGGAGAAAACATTAAAACAAGTCACTTACACACAATGTCGTCTTTATCAACATCGTGCAAATCTGGACTTGCCGAGATGGGAGGTCTGTGAAAACAAAATGTAAAAGCTATGATCGGTATCCATCCGTATCAATTTCCTTTTAGCGCAGAATGAAAGCATATTCTTTAAATCTTACCCTTGCTCCGGTTCATAGCGCCTGCAATTAGTCTCCGAGTTGTGAAGACGGCGTACTGCTACCTGTAAATCACAAAAAATACACTTTAATAAAGCTTGTTCTAGCAAGGCTACTATTAGCCGCTATTAGCCGGTAGCTTAGGCTAGGCTGCTTTTAGCTTAGCAGGCAGTAATCGAACATATATTTACCGCTAGCATCTCTTCTTTGAGTTCGTCTTGTTCGATGCAGAGTCGCCATCGCGTCCAAGAGGAGTTTTACCCCGAAATCCAGAAGCTCCAGACCGCTGCACAAAGCAAAGCATACATCCTCCACTGTGGCTGCACACACCGCCGTTCTGAGTTTCTTGGAGATCGTAGGGAGCATGCGCGAGATGAACCAGGGTGTCCGCGGATCAATAAAAATAATTAAAAAATCATTCTTTTTTTTTTTTTTAAACAAGGCCTTAATTGGCACTAAAATTATTTAAATATGTTTATCGAAGTATTTATAATTCTTTAATAAAAAATGCTTATAAAAACAATTTCGTCAGATATATTATATCGCTCCAGGCGGAGAAAAAGCTAGAGGATATATATATACGTATATATGTGTGTGTGTGTGTTTACATACATACAGGAGTCATGGAACTCTGCTTGCAGCTCCTTCATATTTCATGTACACTAATAACTTGTGTACATGGTTCTTGATGATGGCATTAAAATCATTTCAAATAGCATTAAAATAGCATTAAATTAGAGTCACTCATTCCTGTATGAACCCTGTGAGCGCTTAATTTAATATGACATATTAAAAAAATCCCACCATCATCCAGCATATGTTCAGTTTCTGCCCAAATATATATGTAGATTTTTGTAACGGGGATAAGGATAATTCAAAACTGCTTTTTTTTTAATGAACTTGTTCACTACTTCCAAACTCAGCATCTCTTTTCATTCCTGTAATAAGAAGTTTCTTTTGAATGGATTTGATTAAAGTTTAAGTCCCTCGGTATAAAATAAATATTTTGATGGAGATGAGAAATCTGCTTCCTCGTTGGTGAATAACCAATAGTTTGGATCCAATCATTTAAATAAACGGTGTTAGTTTTTTATATATATATATATATATATATATATATATATATATATATATATATATAAGAATTGTGCTATAATTTCTAGTCACCGATCTGTTGCTGCTATATTTTAATT